CTATGGATGCCAAGGATCGGGGATGAGCGTTGGAGTTAGACTGATTGGGCCAGGAATGATCCAACAAATGCCGCATGTTTGTACTGTATGCGAAGGCCCTGGTAGTTTACCGTTTAACACTACCTTTGCTGTCACTTTGATCTCTCCACTAAACATATTATTTTTCAGGTGAGGTTATAAGTGATAAAGACAAATGCCCACAATGTAAAGGTAACAAAGTCACTCATGAGAAGAAGGTATTAAAGGTGTTGGTTGAGAAGGGAATGCAGCATGGTCAAAAGATTGTATTCCCAGGAGAGGCTGATGAAGCTGTGAGTCTAATTTTCCCTTTCTTTTCTTGGGCAATTTCAGTACTCTTTTTGGGTTTGTTCTTGCATGCAATAACTTGCTCAATTTTTTTTTACAAAATATGCTATTTAAATGTCTTCTTTTCCCCTTCTCTTGTGCGATACCAAGTGGAGTTCAAGCGTACAAAGCTCAATTTGGAATATAAATTTTTAGTTTAAAATTAATTTGGGCTGTAGCTGAGTTGAAAGTGATCGATTTTTAGTTGATTCAAGCCAAGAATTTTAAATTTATGTTAAACATATTTTTATATATTTATTTAAGCATCTTTGCTTTAGATTGGTTACATATATATTAATGTGTATGTATGTTGCTATATATAAATTTATTTATTCAATATATATATGGGGCTTTTAATAGGACACAATAGAGAAAAATGATTCATGTAGCCGACCCCACGTAGTGGCACAAAGGCTTGATGTTGTTGTTGTTATAAGTATTATATATATATGTCAAGTTAAATCTAATTATGAATATATGCATGTGCATGCGTATACATTTGGGAAAACATAGAAATCTACTTTTGAGTGGATCTCGAGTTAAATCTAATTAATTTTAAGCAAGTCATCCAAGTTTAAGCAAATCAGTTTTGATGTGGGATGTACTAAAAGTCAAGGGATTTTTGAGTGAGTTTCAAGTTGCAAACAAAAATACCAAAAGGGAGCCCTCACTTCCTGAAGCAGGTACATCTTTGCTGTGTTAGACCGGTATGGACCGGTCCAGCCGGTCCACGTTGGACCGGCTCAGGCGCAAACTGGGCGGGCGCTCTCCGCCTCCTACTACAACTGCACGAGCCGCATGCTTTTGGGTGCCAAATAGGAAAGGTATTTGGGGGAATTAAGAGGGAAATTTGAATGTAGGGACTGTTTAGGGATTTCCTTTTGATTTGTATGCGTTAAACACTTTGTTTTCCTAGGGTTAGGTGATGAAGACATCGAAGATCAACGGCTACGATCGTGTCTAGTTATTTTGATGCATTTGATTTGTTATTTGTACTTTTTCCTTTCTACCCTCACTTGAGGGCTTTGTCTTATTTTGGCCCTAGGGGCAATTGTGTCTTTTTATTTTCCTTCATGTATTTGGCTATTTAAGCCTTCCCCTACGTCTTGGAAAGGGGATGATGATTATTTGTTAATGAAAATTTTGGTTTTGGATCTCTTTGTGAGTTCTAGAGTTCTCTTTGTGAGTTCTCAAGTGAGGAAAGCCTAGGCGAGGCTCAAAGCAATACCCAATAGCCCCTTGGTGGAGCTCTTGGTTTTCTACCCCGTATCTTTTCTTCTTCTCTCCCTTTTTTCCCATCCGAAAGATCTCTTTGTGAGTTCTTAAATTTGGTTTTAGATTTCTTTGTGAGATCTAAGTGGAATCACTTGAGGTGAGTTGATCTTTGTTTCTACGCAATTCCAATCTTATTTTTTTCTCTATAGCAGTTTTCCCTCCCCCTCCCATCAGCCTTGCCGCCGCCCCATTGGCTCCCACAAGCCGTCGGCTCCCAGGCAAACACCACCCGCCGGCCTTCCATCGTTCCCTTGGCCCCTTTCCTCTTCTAACCGTCGGCCTCTCTCCATGGGATTTGAAATTTGAAATTTCAAATCTCCCCATGAGACATAATTGACTTTCCTAAATTAAATTCTTAATTTTAGGCAATCTCCTTAATTGTAATTCAATCCCAAATTGAAATTCAAATTAAGTTAATTGATTGCCTTGCTTTAGGAAACTTCCCTCAGATTTGAAACCTGAGAATTCCGGTGAGATTTTATTAAATCTGCTTTAATTTGTGGGCCCCATTTTATTCATTACCATGCCCCTTTCTCTCTCCTTATGGCCGGCCACCTCACCCCCATTGCTTCTCTCTTTAGTTGCCGCCTCATCACCCCTTATTCCGTATAAGAGCTTGCTTATTATGGCCTCTAAATTTAAACGTGCAAACTTCTTTAATCAAATTATTTTCGCATGGGATTGTTTCACATCATTAGGGCATCTTGAATTTGGCTAAAATTTGATATCTCTTAGATTTAGGTTTTTTTTTTGGCTCTAGCTGCGTCTAGAGATTTAGGAGAGATTGATCATTCTCTCGAATAGAGGATCAATTGTATCTTGCTATTTTCCGTTTTCCTTCCATCAAATAATTCAAATTATCTACTGCTTTTGTGATTTTGGCAGACTTTTTGTGAAGAATTCTCGCTGTTTTCCGAAGATTGATAGGGAATATTTGAGATCTAGAATTGTTTCATATCATGTTGCTATAACCTCTTTGGTTGTCTTGCATGTATGTATCAATGCATGCTGTTCTGCCACTTTTATCCTAAATTTTGTAATGAGAGGTTCCAGATGAAAACTGCGTTTTTACCTGAACTTTTTCTATTTTTCTATTGAGATCTAAGCTAATATCAAAGTTTAAGAATTTAAATCTTAGCAATATACAGTTGTTAGGCTGTTGAAATCAAATATTTCAAAAGGTTTGCAAGTCCATCATGCATGACATTGATGTAATTTTATAATGTTGTCTGCAGCCTGATACAGTTACAGGAGACATCGTCTTTGTTTTGCAACTTAAAGAGCACCCCAAGTTCAAGCGAAAGTATGATGATCTGTATGTAGAGCATACACTCTCGCTGACCGAGTCCCTCTGCGGCTTCCAGTTTGCTTTAACACATCTTGATTACAGAGAGCTTCTTATCAAATCAAATCCAGGCGAAGTTATCAAACCTGGTAAGATTTCTTGTTCCCCCAGTTAGATTTCTATCTTCATAATTTGATTCAGTTCTTACGTTAATCATCTGATCAGGTCAATCTAAAGCCATCAATGATGAGGGGATGCCTAATTACCCTTACCACAGGGCATTCATGAAGGGTCGACTGTACATCAAATTCAATGTGGAATTTCCTGATTCAGGAGTTCTTTCTCTTGGTCAGTGCAGGCATCTGGAGGCAATTCTTCCACCCAGAACAAGCACGTGGATGACCGACATGGAGCTTGATGAATGCGAGGAAACCACCATTTATGATGTTAATATTGAAGACGAGATGAGATGAAAGCAGCAGCAGCAGCAGCAGCAGGACGCATATGAGGGTGAGGTCGCTGCCCCGTGCGTACAGTGTGCCCAGCAATAAGGTTGGTCTGTCGAGATGTACTTTAATAACTGTTACTAGCTGCTGCAGTGGATATCAGTCTTATATATTGTTTAGTTTTATGAGTATATTCAAAAGTAATGGCAGTAAGGTCTATTAGAATCATTCAGTATTATCTATATCAACAGATGGTGAAGAGTCTCCTTATGCAAATGCTGTTAGAACGCCTTAAACGTCACCAGTTGACGTGTCTAGCCGTTATTATATTCTGTATTTTCTTGCTTTCTTTCTCTCGAAGCTATCTATATATAGCTGCCATGTATTGCCTTTAGATCATATATGAGATTACATTTTCCTTCTTTTTCCTCAGTTCTCTGTTCTTCCTCCTCCATTCAAAGCCGGCCAAAGGATCTCACATGGTATCAGAGCAATTCGATTCCTTCACCCGCAGCTTCTAGCTTCGCCTCAACCGAAGCTCCTTTCCAACGATGGCGGACCAAGATTCTGCTTCGTCCCTCCCTCCACCTTCCAGCATCTCTACTTCTTTAAAGGAGTTCGTTCTACCTCCTTCCAATTTCTTGATTTATAACCTCAAACATCTCATCCCAATCCAACTTTCTAGCGACAACTATGCAATATGGCATTCTCAACTCCTCCATAATTTCTCTGCCAATGGCTTCTTGGACATCTCACCAGAGCTACCGCCTCTCCTGCCGACACCTCTAGCTCAGATTATCATCTTTAGCGGTTAATTGATCGTAACTTGATTTCTTCTTTGTTTGCCACGATCTCACCTTTCGTTCTTCCATATTTCCTAGCCTCTTCAATTCTATGGCTCATGAAGTAGACCATTCTTGAACGTCGACTACAACCAACAAATCGTTCTCGAGTTATATAACTCAAGAATGAACTACATCATGTCCAAATGCAGGATCGATCTATGCAACAATTTCTTGCATGCATCAAGTCGCTCGAAGATGGTATTGCTGCTGCTGGATCCAAAATCGACACTGAAGATATTGTTTTATATATCTTTAACGGACTCCCCTCAACTTACAACTCTTTTAAAACCTCCATTGGTACATCTTTAGACCCCATAGATCTCGACACCCTCTATTCTCTACTTTGCAGCAAAGAAATCAATGTTCAACTTGAACAATCTCAAGAAACAAATTCTTCATCTACCGCAATTGTTCTTTACTCAAAAAAGAACAACACCTCTCGCGGACGGGGCTTGACACGATACTCTAAAGGCCGCAATTCGTCTTCCCGCCCTCAATACAATTTGCAACACAATAACCAGACAAAAAAGACTACTTCGTCCCCACATTTTGATCGCCCTTTGTGCCAGATATGCGGCAAAATTGGACATATCGCACTCAACTGCTGGCATAGTTGCAACCTCAAATACGCTCCTTCAACCTCCACACCACAAGCTCTTTAAACCAATCAACAACTGACATAATACAATGATTGGGTTCTTGACCCGGGAGCTTCCGCACATCTCACACATGATCTCTCAAGAATTCAGCAACCTGTTTCTTATCAAGGAAATGACTTGGTTTCTATTGCAAATGGAAGCTCCTTGCCGATACAAAACTCCGGACAAGGTCTTCTTCCTCTTCCTGAATCGGCTCGTGAGCTATACCTTTCGCACCTTCGGATGTCTTTGCTTCCTGTTGCTTCAACCCTATGTCATCATAATTTCTTGCTCTCCAACAACAGGGTTTTTAGTCCCTCGTATTGGCTCCACAGAACACACTTATTCTTGGGAGTAAATGGACCTTCAAAACCAAATTGCTTTCGAATGGCACCATATGAAATTACAAAGCTCGTCTGGTATCTCAAGGTCTCACACAACAATTTGGTATTAACTACAAAGAAACGTTCAGTCCAGTCGCGAAGATGCTAACCATTAGAATCCTTCTTACCTTAGCACTCAATCTCAATTTGTCTATTATTCAAATGGATGTATCAAACGCCTTCCTTCACGGCGATCTACAAGAAGACATATATATGCGACAACCGCCTGGATTATTCGACAGACAACATCCCAACTATGTTTGCAAGCTCCACAATTCGTTATATGGGCTAAAGCAAGCTCCGAGATAGTGGTTCCAAAAGTTCACAACGTTTCTTCAGAATTTTGAATGTGTTCAGCCGCTCGGACCCCTCCCTTCTCCTCTATCGTCATAATCACATTCAATTATTTATACTAATATATGTTGATGATATTCTCTTAACAGGCAATGATACCAAGGCTATTGAGACACTCAAGCAACTATATTGCAACTTCAAGCTCAAACAAATAGGAGACATCTCTCTATTTCTTGGCATATAAATCATTAAAACACCAACCGGTTTCTTCCTCCATCAACAACATTATGACAAAAATCTTCTTCAAATGGCGGGTTTCGAAGATTGCAAATAGGCTTCCACACCGATGACTCCTAAATCAACCTCCCAAAACTCATCAACTCAGCTATACTTAGATCCTCAACTCTATCGTAAATTGGCTGGCTCTCTCCAGTACCTTTCAATTACTAGGTCGGATATTCCCTTTGCGACAAATTTCATCTTCCAACATATGCATGCACCAACTATACAGTATCACCAAGCTCTCAAAAGACTCAGATATATCAAAGGTACCTCTCACTTTGGTCTTCCGCTCACCGTTGGCCATCTTCAACTTTTGACATACGTAGATGTAGACAGGGCGGCAAATTCCAAAGACAAAATCAATGATAGGATTTTGTTCCTTTCTCAAACAAAATCTCTTTTCCTTATCCGTAAAAAAGCAGACAATAGTGGACAAATCCTTCATCGAAGCTAAATATCGATCTATCTCATCAGCAACTTCCGACGTCCTATAGCTTCGCCGTCTTGTGACAGAACTTCAACTACTTCAAAAAGATTCAATCATCATACATTGCGCAACACCTCCGCTATTGCTCTCGCAAACAGTCTCGGCTTCCACGCAAGAACAAAACACATCGAAATCGACTATCATTTCATCGGGCACATCAAAGTCTGGAGCTCTAACCATCTTGCACATAAGCTCAATCGATCAAATAGCGGACATTCTTACAAAGCCTCTCTCCATAACTCGGTTTAACACTTTCTATCACAAATTAACCATCCAACCTATGGATGCTTAACTTGAGGGGGCATGTTAGAACGCCTTACACGCAACAGCTGATGAGTGTAACCATTATTATGTTCTGTATTTTCCTGCTTTCTTTCTCTCAAAGCTATCTATATATATAGCTGCCATGTATTGCCTATATGAGATTACATTTTCCTTTTTTTTCCTCTGTTCTCTGTTCTTCTTCCTCCGTTCAAAGCTGGCCAAAGGATCTCACAAATGCTTCCTTGGTTCATGTTTTGTGTTTCTTTTTTTGTGTTTATAAGCTAAAATTGTAGTTTGTCTGTGCTGGATGGTTCATTTTGTCTATATCTTCAAATGTTTTGATTGTGTTCCTTTTTTGCTTTGTTAGGCCTGTGTTCTTTATCAGAAACAATAGTTGAAAGTTTCTTTTTTGTTTATATCTTAGATTTTGTTTGTGATAATTTTTTTATTATTTTCTAAAGCAGTTTTTAATTACAAAAATTTTTGTATTAAAAAATTATTTTATAAAACATTAAGAAAGTTATCCCAAATTAAATCTTAGGCTTTGTTTGGGACAATTGTTTTATTGTTTCTTGAAGTAGTTTTTTAATAAAAAAAAAAAATTTATATTAGAAAGTTATTTTAAGTTGTAAAAAAGCCGTTCCAAATAAAATCTTAGGCTTTGTTTGGGATGGCTTTTTTATTGCGTTCTAAAATGTAGTTTTAGCACAAAATTTTTTAATTTAAATAAAAAATTTTAAATAAAAAAAAGTTATAAATAAAAAATAAAACCAATCTCGGGAGTTAATGAAAGGAGGTTATATGGCTCATTTTGTATTGTTCTTTCTGATTTACAATTATATGTGCTTTACATGAAATTATGAACATTTCACCTAGCATTGGCCTGCTTTGATTTGAATTGGAGCGCTTCAGAGGTGGTCACTTAACACTATTAAAATTTTTTAGAAAAATCTTAACAACACTAAAGAGATTTATAAGTTTCTAAGAATATTATTTAAATTTTAAATAGATCTAATAATTTTTGTACAAGAAAACTGGTTTAAAAACATCAATAAAATTATCCCAAATAAAATCTTAGTGGTATCAAAAACCAGCTAGTCTTAGCCCACCTCAATCTCAATCATCAATATCTAAGCCATAAGCCACTACTCTCCTCCTTCCTTCGCTTCCAATTGTATCAAGTCATAATCAATAGCACGGTGATGAATGGTAAAAAAAAAGTTTTTTATTTTTATTTTTATTTTTATTTTTTAATATTTTGAATTATGTATTGTAAATAGTGAAGTTTAAATATTGAATATGTAATTTCTAATATTTTGAGTCCTATGTGTGTATATCCCCAAAAAAAAATTTCAGCTACTCAAACTCAAAATTTTCCCCTACAAGATTGTACCACAGTAGTTACTATCTTCAGGATTTAGCATTTTCTTGATTAAAATAAATCTCTGGCCACAAATTTGGTCTTCCAACTGATAGTTTCATCAGCACTTTGATCAAACATTCATTACAAAACTCACTATTGTTATGTGGTTTATCTATGATTAAGACTTCATTTGAGACAACTTTTTTACTGTTTCTTAAATAAGTTTTTTAGTACAAAAATTAAAATTTTTATACTAAAAAATTATTATACGAAGCAATAAGAAATCCATCCCAAATGAAGCCGAAGTTCTAAGAATAATAACTTCTAAAATATAAAATAATAATATGAAAATGATTATGAGAAATTCGAAGTAAACATTTCCTCATATCATGCTGCTTATGTGAATATATCATAGTATGCATGCATAAAATAGAATAATTCTTCACATATATATGTGCTATTTTATAAGTTAGCTAATATTTGT